GTAATAAGTGCTTTCTCTCTATCACCACACATGATCAAATGAAAAGTTCGCTCTTAGTATACATGGTATATAGCTTGTGTCTTGGACTGGACTACTAAAATGAATGTTATTTGCTGCTGTTCATGGTAATGAACTTATCCAACATGAAAATATCTTGCCTTGTGAACTTTGTCAGACCTGCCTTTCTTTTTCTTTCCTATGCAGGCGTTGTATGTAAGGCAGTAACAGAGAGGTGATAGCTTGAGCTTTTGAAGAATAAATACTGGCAGTGAGGCAATTCCACATCAAACATCCCAGCCATTTGGCCAACCATCCTAAATGTGTTTTGAAAAAAAAAAATTGTGCTCATTTACTGTATTGAAAACAGCAAAAGGCTAAAATATATCGCAGAGAACAAAATATTAGGCCACCTTGGTGCCTTCTAGACTTCCCAGTATGTTGTCTGGGTGTTATTTAAAAAAAGTATTTCAAAAATACTGCTTCTTCTACACCAAATTTGGTCTAGGTATTAAGTAAAGTGATTGTGTGTAGTGCATAAAGCTCAGTAACATTAGTGTAATTTTTTTCGCCACATCAGAAGCAAGAAAGCAGTTCTCTTGATATGGCAAGTTATGTGATAACAATTTTTGTTTTAAAGAAGAAAATAATTTCTGAAGTTTCCTAATGATGGCTGTTTTCGCATTTGTTATAAGACAGCTGCCGTTCCAAAGTTCCCCATGGCCCTCAATCGGAGACTTCAAAGATCATTTTCTTCATTGAAACAAAAATTGTAATGATAACACTTGCCATATAACAAGAAATGTTTATTTGCTTTCAATTACACATAAAAGTAGTTTTCAATTGGCACTTAGTGCAAATTGCTTCTCAATGTAGAAAAAACGATTATATAGTGATATTTGTGATCTGGAGCAACACATTATTTTTTTTTCGTGAAATATACCTTCTGTGGAGTGAGTATTTATGGCTCAAATATTCATACAAAGTGCAGTATTGCCATAGAAGAAATGCAAACGATAAACAGTTTGGCTGAGTTCTTCAAAGCCTATGTAGCGAAAAAATTGAACATTAGTTACTCCGCTTCAAATACTTTAAAGAAGCACCTTTACCTAATATGTAGATCAAATTCGATATGGCAAGAAAAAGCGGTACTTTAAGATTTTTCTCACAAACAACACCCCCATGACATTCTGCGAAATTATGAAGGTACCCACGTGACTGCTACTTTTTTCTCTTCAAAATATTACAGCAAATAACTGTTTTCAAAAGAGTAAATTACCACCATTATCAAACTATATATCTGTGATGGTCGCCAGGCAGTATGGTGTGGATGTTTGATGTAGAATGGCCCAGTGGGAAAAACAACAAATGTCTGAGCATCCTTTGACGGTCGGGCAATTTCGAAAGCATTTTTTGTTAGCAGCGATTCAATTGAGCCCTTGTCTTCATGCTTAGGCCCAGAAACAAAACACTAGTAACCAAAGTAGTCCTAAGAGTCATGCAGTCTCGCTGTTCCAAGGCTTGTGGAGCCTCATTTAGAGCAAGCTTCACCATTTTTAAATATTCAGATTCAGCCAACAGGTTTTGGAGGCACAGTGCGTTTTCAACTAAATTGTTTCATTAGTTACTTGGATAAAAAGCGGCAAGTAGAGGTAAAAATACCATCCCAAAGGCATTGTGGGTAACAACAAAAAGGTCTGCTTTCTTTTTTTGTGTGGTGCTTTGCCTGAACGCTGTGCTTTAGTGGTATAGTTCATTATCTAGTGAACATAGGCCTTAAAAACTAACATTAGCCTTGTTGAGCTCGATTTTTCGGTTATAGTCATAGTAAGCCATATTAAAAATTATGACTTCAAACTTGACTGTTCTTTCAAAGATTTTTTCTTGCATAATGATATTTCAGAGTCTTAGTCAATTTTGTTATAAGAAAACATGATGTCATATTAGGGTCACTTTTTATAGAGTCGTTCAGTTCTACCTCACCTTTTACATTCCTAATAGAGCAGTTATTTTCAATATCGGTATTTTAAATAGAATAAGCCTGCTTTATGTAGTAAGGTGTAAGCACTTACAGATAGCACATGCACCCAACTTTTCTGTTGGCAGTTCATTTCTGTTATTCTTGATTGATATGTGGGGTTTCACGTCCCAAAACCACTATATGTTTATGAGAGACCCCGTAATGGAGGGCTCTGGAAATTTTGACCACTTGGGGTTCTTTAACGTGCACCCAAATCTGAGCACCCGTGCCTACAGCATTTCTGCCTCCATCGGAAATGCAGCAGCTGCAGCCGGGATTTCATACCGTGACCTGCGGGTCAGCAGCCGAACTTTCGTTACTCTTCCTCCCCTATATCTGTGCAGTTCAGTTATAGTAGTCTGGCTTGTACAGATTTTTAACGGCACCTGCCTGATCCTGCTTGCTTTCATGGTGATTTTAACCTTCATAAGTTGCATAGTTGTAGGTCTCAAAATTGTTCAAGATGCTAATTTTGTGCAAAAACTGTATAGTTTAAAGGCAGCAAATGTACATGTACGCACTACTAAATGTACATTGAGAGCTTTCACTGGCAGTTCCTAAAGTTTTAGTGTGCAGAAAGCATTTAAATCATAATTTTATAAGGACATCGATAGATTATCTCTACCATTGAAAATTGTGGCAACAACCTAGTTATTTTCACTGTGATAAGCATGCTGTTTTCTTTCATGTGGCAGAACTAATTTGTACATTTCTTTCTTCTATTATTCACATATGCATAACATGAAGGGTTGTCTGCCTTACATTTTCAGTTTCATTCTGTGTGTTATATTTCTTGTGCATGTGAACTAAGGTGCTAACTTGTGTGTCTGACATTATTTGTGCCAATTATTTACATTTTCAGGTTCCTATGAAGGACACATAAGTTCTATGGCAGTGACCTCCCAAATCTACAGTGGTGCCGGAGCCTCAAGCAGCATTTCATCAATCTCCACAAGGCGTTCATGAGATATACACAGCGCCACACTTTCACAGTGCTATGATTATTATTTATGTTTAAAATTTTGTTCCAAAATGGCTGTTACATTGTGTTTTGTGCCATCATCCTGTAGCTTATGTGAAGCTCGTGAAATTACGGTGCAGTCACCTCATTTGCGTACCATCCACACTGCAATGTCGCTATTCACAGCTGGAGCATACAGACAAATAAAAAATATATTGATTGTAGCAGGGCTGATGTGTATATTAACGCTTCTCTATTGCAAATATTAACTTTATAAGTTTTTTAAGTCTTGCATAGAACACTGCATTAATGTGTTGCAATGTAACCACCATTTATGATCACTAGCCTGTTATTTTAGTAGCTTTGTAACGTATTTTATTTAAAAGCTAATTTTGCTTCCGCATCACGACAATTGGAAAGATGCCGATGATTCAATCCCTCATCATGTATCTTTAGGAATAATTTTGATTTATACATAGTATTGCATGTACTCAAGATGTGGACGTCCATTCAATTTACACATTATTTTGCATTGCACTAGATTCGGACGGACATTTCATTTCTGCATAATTAATACAGCTTTCCTTATCTGCGGAGCGTTCCGCATCATGCGGCCTTCCTTATCTGCGGACCTTTCCGCATCATGCGGCTTTCCTTATATGTGGACCTTTCCGCATCCTGGGCTTTCCTTATCTGCGGAACTTTAAGTATCATACGTTTTTCCGTAGTCCAATTTTGGCGTATGTGCGGAGCTGCACATACGGAAATTTTCAGTAGGGATGAAGTCGTCAGACTTGTGGATGACAAATGGACCATCCTTCACTAAATCTTGAAGGTGTCTTTGTAGGTAACGGCTGACGTAGCGTTGCCTGGTAGCATTTTCAGAAACAATGGCACGAAACGGAACATCGGGTTTGTGACTTTTCACGGTCAAAAAGATTTCGAGGAAGCCCTTTTCTTCTTTCTTTGTCCTTGCCTTGAAGTTCTGTAGGTTCAATTCGTCTAGCAGATGAAGTGCACACTGTTTCCGTTTTGAAGCATCAAAGGGTACGTCCTTGAAGTTCTTTACCATTGCCAATTGTGACTTTCCTCGAAACAGAGTGTTCGGTAGGACAGCGAAGCTTCCTTCTTTGTCTGTTTCCTGTAATCTTAACTGTAGCTCCTTCAGCGTCCTCGAAATCTTCTTCAGGGGCTGATCCATCGAACGATGGGAAGAAGTGCATTGTGTAAAGAACTTAACCCCTTCGAATAACTTGATGTTTCTCATTTTCACCGCAACAATCGGCCACTTGACGGACCAGGAAGAGGAGGCCCTGGGGTTTAAAACAGGGCTCATAACTGAATTTTGGTCCTTTCTCCAGAACATGCCTAACGTCGTCAGAAACCACTGGCATTACCAAGCACAAACACGATGTCTTGCTTAACACAAGAGGCCTTGCGCTCAGAAGTGAGGTTCACGAGAGCACGACGCCACAAGAACTCAGCTGACACAGCCGCTTGTTTCTTGAGAGCATACAGGCGACACGATCCCTTGAAAGGCTCAGCACCAGTTATCACGAGAACACGCAACCAGTACCTGAAACATCCTCACCTGTCGCCTATATTCTGATTTCAGAATCTTGCGAAGACGCTTGCAGTGGCCTCATGGAGGTTGGACAACACCGAAAAGACATTGCACTTCTTTGGGAACCTGCTTCCGCTTGATGCAGTAGGACATAAACCTGGATTTGCATAGGGTTTCCGCGATGAGGTTGGCACAATGGCAGAATCCGAACGACAACTATTAGGCAGGAAAGGGTGCTTTGTATAAGAAAGTTGCTCGAGAAGTACTTTGGTTTGGGTTAGTTGGTTCATAGTGCTCACATAGGAAGGGCAGCGCAAAAACTCGTGGAAAAAAGGACAGTAGAGACAGGGCGCTGACTAACAACTGAAATTTTATTGCCATCACCTGTGCATATATATGTGCCTAAAATGCGATTGAGGGGAGGTTTAGAAGCAATAAAAGAACGCTGGTTTATTTATTTATTTATTTATTTATTTTCATACTCTCAGGGCCCGAGGGCATTACAGAGAGGAGTGGTCTGACAACAATATATCAATAACTGCAATTTTGAAGGCGGCAGATTCTTCGATTGCAGCAATGGAGGCAGGAAGGTGGTTCCAGTCACTGCTTGTTTGAGGCAAAAAAGAAGCATGGCAAGTGTTAGTGCGGCATATGGGAACTTTAACTTTAAGTTGATGGTCTAACCGTGGTGATACATAATCTGGGGGAAGGAAAAGATCATTTTTAAGTGTTGGATTCGTGTAAAAGATTTTGTGAAATAGGTTGAGACGGAAGTACTTACGGCGTGACTTAAGTGTTGGTAATCCTAGGGTAGCTTTCATTGAAGAAACACTGGCGTAGCGGTTGTAGTTAGAGAGCACAAAACGAGCTGAACGGTTCTGAACGGATTCAAGGGCTGTAGTTAATACGGAGCTAAATGGATCCCAAATAGAACAAGCGTATTCCAATTTCGATCTAACGAGTGTTGTGTACAATTTAAGTTTTAAATCTGAAGGAACGGATGAAAAATGACGGCGGAGAAATCCAAGCATGCGATCAGCGTTATTAATTACATGTTCAACATGCATATTCCAAGAGAGGTTGTGGGTTATATGCACGCCAAGGTAACGGTAACTAGTAACGGGGTTTAAAGAGGAGTTTTTGAAGGTATAGAAAAAATGGTCATTGACTTTATTGTGGTGCATTACTCTCATAACTTTACACTTACTGATGTTTAATTTCATGAGCCACTTGTCGCACCAGTTAGAAACAGCGTCAATGTCGGACTGCAATGTAGAAACGTCAAGTTGATTATGAATGACACGATACAGTACGCAATCATCAGCAAAAAGCCTAATAGTAGAATTAATTCCGACAGGCAAATCATTATAAATAAGAAAAAGCAATGGACCTAAAACCGAACCCTGTGGTACGCCTGATGTTACAGCAACGGTAGGAGAGTTATAATTATTAGCGTGAACATACTGCAGACGGTTTGTTAGAAAACAGTGAATCCAGTCAAGGATGTTAGGATCTATACTTAGCTTGCTCATTTTGAGAAGAAGGAGAGTATGCGAAACAGTGTCGAAGGCTTTAGCGTAATCTAAAAAGATGCAGTCGATAATGAAATTATTGTCGAAAGCACGAAAAAGATCGTTAGTAAAAGAAAGTAACTGCGTTTCACAAGAGAAGTGCTTCCTGAAACCGTGTTGCCAAGGGGAAAAAAATGAGTTGGATTCGAGAAAAGATACTAAGTTTGAATAGATGATGTGCTCGAGAAGTTTGCAGGGTACACTGGTTAAAGATATTGGCCTGTAATTGAGGGGAGAGTGGGTGTTACCTGATTTGTGAAGTGGAACCACCTTACCCACCTTCCAATCATCTGGCAAAGTGGAAGACTGCAAAGACTGCGAAAAAAGTTCAGCGAGTATAATGGAAGAATAAAGTTTTGTGTTTTTTAAGAACTTTGAATTGATGCCGTCGTTGCCTGCAGAGCTAGACAATTTCATTTTTCTATTATACGGCACACTCCAGATGAATCAACAGATATGAAATCCATAGGAAAAAACCAGCGATAAGAACTGCAAACGATAAAATCTTCAAAAGAACCCGCGCAAGCGTGATGAGTGAAATGCATCAAGTCATGATAAAGCAAATGACACGGAAAATCAAAGAAAGTCTCTCAGATAACTAATTTCAGCGTCAGACAAGGATATGGACGGCCTGCTCACGCACTTGTCACCTGCTTCATGAATGAAGAAAGCCTCAACAATCTCGCGCTCTATCTTATCTTTCCCCATTTTAAAAAAACAGAGTACTACAAAAGTTAGGAGAGCAGCCACAACGCCTGCAATGGTCAGCCAGAAAACCACTGGTCGTATTGCGTACATTATAGTCAGGCTTCTTCGCCCTTTCATTAAAACACCTGCCAGTTTGACCTATGTACTCAACTGCACAACTTAAAAGAAACCTAAAAACTACATTGGAAATACAATCTGTGAACCTGTTCCTGTGTTTGCTTGTGCATCCAGGGAGTATTCCTCTGTAGGCCATGCCCACAAAAATCGAGAGTTTGTAGGGCGCGGAAAGTACAACTTGCACGTCATGCCTCAATGCAATTCTCTTCAAGTTATGTGAGAATTTGTGAACAAATTGGATAACATGCACATGCTTCATCTTTCTTCTGCCACCTTTTTGTTTTGTTTGATCACGTTTTATGTTTTATTATCGGATTTCATGATCCGTTAATGGCTTTTCGGTCGACATTGAAGAACTTCATTATTCTGTGCCACATGAAGGACTGCTGCAGGCTTTTCGAGATAGGGTTCAGGAATTTGCGGAAGTTCAGTTCTTTAGGCCAAGCAGGTGTTTCTGCTGATGACTTTGTTAGACTCTTAGAGTTATCTTTGTCTTCGACAGTTGTGAATTTTGATGATAAGTTTTATGTTCAAAGAAGGGCATCTGCATTGGCTCAGCTGTGGCTCTTGTGTTGTGCGATCTTTTCTAGTCAGTCGTTGGTTGCCGCATTCGGGATAAATTGCAAGTACCACAAGTTGTCAAGATCTTTAGGTATGTGGATGATTTTCTAGTAACTTTGAATGATGTTTATGACCTTGACCTAGTCATCCATGACGTTTTGCATGTGTTTCAGAGTGAAATTCACGGCCTGAAGTTCACAGCATGAAAAGCCTGATAAGTAAGCGTTGCAATTTCTTGACATTGGCTTGCTTTTTGGCGATAATCACATCTGTTGGAAGTATATTCCTAGATCCCTGAAACCCTTGTTACGGCATGACAGTGGTCATTCAAAGCTTGTTAAGCGAAGCATTGCTGTGAACTGTCTGCATTCAGCCCTGAATAATTCCTTCGTACTTGTCATTTCATCTAGCTTTAATGCACAGGTTACCAGATTGAAGCAGGCGGGTTACCCTCCTGAATTAATTTCTGCGGTGTGTGAGACCCTGCTACGGAACATAAAACGCGATCAAACAAAACAAAAAAGTGGCAGAAGAAAGATGAAGCATGTGCATGTTATCCCATATGTTCACAAATTCTCACATAACTTGAATAGAATTGCATTGAGGCATGACGTGAAAGTTGTACTTTCCGCACCCTACAAACTCTCAATTTTTGTGGCATGGCCTACAGAGGAAAACTCCCTGGATGCACAACCTAACACAGGAACAGGTTCACAGATTGTATTTCCAATGTGGTTTATAGGTTTCTTTTAAGTTGTGGAGTTGAGTACATTGGTCAAACTGGCAGGTGTTTTAATGAAAGGGCGAAGAAGCATGACTATCATGTACGTAATACGACCAGTGGTTTTCTGGCTGACAATTGCAGGCGTTGTGGCTGCTCTCCTGACTTTAGTAGTACTGTTTTTTAAAATGGGGAAAGATACGATAGAGCGCGAGATTGTTGAGGCTTTCTTCATTCATGAAGCAGGTGAAAAGTGCGTGAGTAGGCCGTCCATATCCTTGTCTGACGCTGAAATTAGTTATCTTAGAGGCTTTCTTTGATTTTCTATGTCATTTGCTCAATCATGACCTGACGCATTTCACTCATTACGCTTGCGCGAGTTCCTTTGAAGATTTTATCATTTGCAGTTTTTATCATTGGTTAAAACCAGCCTTCCTTTCTTGCTTCTAAACCTCCTCTCAATCACATTTTAGGCACATATATATGCACAGATAATGGCAATAGAATTTCAGTTGTTAGTCAGCGTTATGTCTCTACTGTCCTTCTTTTTTTCCCTGGTTTTTGCGCTGCCCTTCCTATGTGAGCACTATGCACCAACTAGCCCAAACCAAAATACTTTTCGGGCAAATTTGTTAGGGGGTAAAATTATTATTGTAACAGAAGAGTAGGGGCAGAGAACTGATTAAAGAGGGGTGTTTGGGTCTTTCAGTGATTGTAATGCAGGCAGAGTGCCTGGGTTTTCATTTATTCCATTTTTTCTTGTGTTGAATTTGTAGATAAAGTAAGATTCTTGTTGATCCCGCTCTCTGATTGTTCGAAAAGTGCTTTCAAATATTGTTACCCTGATGTCATAAAGCTGTGGTGTTTTAATGCACTGTGTTTTGAAAGTACAAGGCCTGGCAGGGAATGTGCATGTGCCCGATGGTTGTTGGTTCTAATTCTAAACGAAATGTCTCTCTGGCCCACGTATTGCATGTTGCGCAGGTATTGCATGGTCACCTTTGAAGACTCTAGAAAGACTCTGAACGCACTGATAGAGAAGGAGCGGTATATAACAATAACTTTCCTCTTTCGGAGTGGGAGGCTAAAAAGCTCGCCGTATTTGAGCACAAAAAACAAACAAACAAAAGAAATAGAAAAACTGAAGGGAAAGAAATTTGTGTGGAAACAATGTCTCACCACAAGCTATACCCAGTGCTGCGCACATGAAAACTACCAAGTTACCTCCCGTTCAGAAAGATTTGCCACCACAATCCAAAGAGCCAAACGTTATTAGCCTTTCATATAAAGAACTTAGCAACGAAGAACTGAGTGTTCAATCACGCGGACTTATAATCTGCCCTGGCAATGAAAAGTACACTGAATTCATGCTTCTAAAAGACCTAGACGGCTTCGCAGGAAATTTACGATTGGAGGAATATTTTTTCGGTAAACCCCAAAAAGACAACCCGCTATTTCGTGGGGTAATCGAACGGCAATAGACCCCAGATGCCAACAGAGATCGACATCTGGATCTATATATAGACGCATTTCAGAAAGAAGTCATACATGCGTACAAGTAGCACAGACCAGGTTGAATAACATATAAAGGAAAGAAAGAGAGGCACTATTCGCGTTGAGCATCCGTGAAGATCTCGTCATTAAACCAGCAGACAAAGGAGGCGCGGCGCAATGGTTGTTCTGAATAGATCGGACTACATCAAGAAAAGCACGCAACAACTAAATGACAAACAATTCTACAAATACCTCGACTTGGACCCTACCACCGAGCACAAGAAGATCATTGTAACAATCCTATAGTATCTCACATGTGAAGGCGCCATTGATTCAAAGCTTCAAAAGGCACTTACTACGGTACATTCGGCGCATGGTCGTTACACATTCTGCCGAAGATTAATAAGGAGGGAAACCCTGGCAAACCCATTATATCCGGCACGGGAACGTTAGCGGATCCCATTTTCAGTTATTTTGACTCTTTAATCAAAGACATACTACACACACGAGTCCTTCTTGTGTGACAGAAATAATTTCCTTCGAGAAATATCGGACGTGAAAAATTCCAGAAGATGCATTCCTCGTAACATTGTATGTAAATTCACACTACACAAATATCCCACATGACGATGGTGTAAGGGCACTTGTTGAATCATTTGGCACCCACAACTCTATCGCATAACCAAACAAAAAAGTAATTGATATCTTAACGAGACTTGTACTCAAAATGAACAGCCTTGAATTTAACAATGGTCACTACCTTCAAATCAACAGCACGGCAATGGGTAGAAGAATGGCCCCAAACTGTGCTAACGTATTCATGAACCATATAGAGTCCAATTTTCTGTTATCTTGTGATATCAAATCTTTAATCTCTAAAAGGTACCTAGACGATATATTCATGATTTGGACACATTCGCAAAACGAGCTGCTCAAATTCATAGAGGCATTTAACAAAGTGCACCCCAGCATTTATTTTACACGCTCCTACTCCAACACTGAATTAAGTGTAATTGATGTACTTATTTGAATGGACAATGGTGCGTTGGTAACCAGCTCATACAGAAAACCTACAGACTGGCAACAATGCCTGCACTT